GAATTTGTTCTATTTCATGAGTGTTAGTTCCTTCACATTCTCTCTTGTTCTTAGACATCACAGTGATTTCCTTGGATACATGTGCTCTTGGGGGGCGGTAGGCTAGAAAACCTGGGGCAGAGCAGGCTCTGGTATCTCCTGGGGCAGGCCTGGGATGTGACCTCATTTTGCTTAAGGCTGCAGTCATTCCTGATTCCCTCCCTTTCCCCCACCCCCAGCAGCCCTTCCTCTAAAGCCACTGTGACTCCTCTGCCCCTCCTCTGCCCCTCTTCCCATGTCCCCAGGCCCACCCTACCCCACCTCCCTATAAATACTATGTCTCTTGAGCAGGTACATAGTCTCATAGGTTCTAAGTCTGGTTGAGTGTGGAGTTCTGTATCTTCTCTAGATACTGTTCAAAGGCCACTGGATCAGTTTCAGCAGCTCTTAAGACACTTTATTACTGTGCTTAGAGGGTATGAATTATCTAAAGGTTAGAGAAGGAGGTTATTACTTGCATGGAAGAAAATTTCACCAGAGCCTGTGGAGCTGAAGCAGCTGGGCTGGTGCACAGAGACACCAAACTTTGGATGCATGCAGTTTGCAAAGCTGGGGACTGTAGCCCAGCTCTTCCCAGGCTGATGCATCTGTTTCAAAAATTTACCTCAACAGCTCATTGTCATTCGCAACTCTTGCTGATGTAAAAGAGAAATGGCCACAAAAGTCCACTCCGCAAACATAGGCCAGCTTACCTCCTCATATCCCTGTTCCTTGGTGTGGTCAGCTAGAGCCCTTGGTTGTCCAATCAGAGAAAACAGCACCCTTAGCTGAGGGACTTTCCAGTGGCCCAGCTCCATGCCACACCAGAGATGTTCCAGAGGAAAGGCTACAGTGTAGTGGTGGGCAGGCCTTTGTCCAAAGGATGTCAGCTGGAAACTGCAGAGGACAAAGGACCATGAAACCTCGTTCCTGCTTTTATGAGAAGAGAGGATTCAAGCTCACCACAAACAATGCCTGCCACCCACTCCTGCAGCTCCGCAGTCAAAAGTTTGACCACTCAGGGAAGCCTGTAACAGTGCCTGCCCTCCGTGTTCTGTAACCCCTTTACCCCACTGGAGTCTGGATTGCAATTGTTACTGCTCGTCCAACTATCAGCCTCTTTCGGGGACCCTCCTCAAAGATGTGCAAATCATATATTGTTCATGACAGTATGTCACCTGTATTAATTGTGGAAATTTTAAAAAGAACCCAGCTTCCTGGTTGAGTGAGAGCTTGCTCATAGTAGAACAACATATACAAAGCAGCACCAAAAAATCCAGGATGTCAAGGTGCTTATTAATGCCAAAGAAATTCATTCCACATGTTGACCGACAGCTGCAGTGCCAGGCACTGGGCTTTAGAACCAGTAAAGAAAAAAGAGGCTTGAACAAAACAAAAGGTTTCAACATCCTTTTTAAACGTTTACCACCAACCCCAAGTGTGGCTAAAACGGAAGCCATTGCTTCCCTGACTTTCCCTTTTTATCTTCTCTTAATTTTTCAGAGTTACATTTTGCTTCATGTTGTATGCCTTTATTGGTGGTCAGAGGATGACTTGTAGGAATCCCTTCTCTCCTTCCACCATATGGACACTAACACTGGACTCTAACCTAAGGGCTTGACATTTGGTGCCTTTACACCCGTTGAACCTTCCGCTCTCACTTTCTTGTCTTCCTTTCTCCTGGGTTCTCCTTCCTTCCTTCCTTTCTTCCTTCCTTCCTTCCTTTTATCAACCTCTTTTCCTCTCTTCCTTTCTTTCTCACAAGCAAAACCCTCCAGTTTGCCAATGTTTCACCTGTAGTTAACATATTGGTCCAGTAATAACAGGAGTTCTCCAGACCAATGATATTGCTTTATCTATAATGGAATGCTGCCACGGGAGAGCCAAGTGCTGCAGTGGAAACCAGTGTCCCAAGGTGAGCAATGAATGGCACATTCAAAGAGGCTGGAGCAAGGGAATAGTTTGTTGTTGTTGTTGTTGTTGTTGTTGTTTATTCGCTTGCTTGTTTTTAAAGACACAAATGAGGAATGTGCAAGATACTTTTAAACAATAATCTTTGGCCAAAATTACCAGTGGTACCAGTCTGCTATTGGACAGGCACTTGTTGACAAGGTCTTCATGTAGAAGTAATATGAGAGAGAGAGAGAGAGAGAGAGAGAGAGAGAGAGAGAGAGAGAGAGAGAGAGGGCCTGTACATGTGATATGTTGCTGGGACCTGAGACATATTAATATTAAGCTCAAACTGTATCTAAGTGACCCACGGTACTCAGTCCCTTAGAAGCATTCTTTAAAGTTTCTGTGGGTCTTGTGAAAGCTCATGGTTCTGGAGTCTTTTGGGACTGAATACTATTTACTTTGTGAGTAAGTTAACCCTTCCTTCCCAATCTCTCTGCTTCACCCCTCCGCACTTCCCTCCAGTCTGTTAAGGACAGGAGGTTATTGTTACTCTGACAGCTCTTATACTTTATACAATTCCAGATCCATTGGGTATGGGTTGTTTTTAACCGTGTTAAATGAACTGTAAAATAGGACATCTTTATTCAATATCACCCCACCTTGGAGTGAGGGAGACGGAGTTTTGTCCACGCTGAACACAGTGTAGACACACAATAACACATTGCCAAGGTGGATAGAAAGTGACTTAGATGACAATGTCACTGCAAGGGACATTTTGTGCAGTTGTACCTATTATTAAGTTTTCCTTAATTTTATTTTCACTTATTAAATAGCCTTTAAAACATCATTTAATGAGTCAGGTGTGGTTAGCTGTCATCTCAACCACTAGAGAAGGAAGCAAGACTATCAGAAACGCAAGGCTGGATGAGCTACGAGAGGCCTTGTCCTTTTTGGTTGTTTGGTTTGTTTTGGGTTTTGTTTTTTTGAGACAGGGTTTCTTGGTGTAGCCCTGGCTGTCCTGGAACTCACTCTGTAGACCAGGCTGCCCTCAAACTCAGATCTGCCTGCATCTGCTTCCCGAGTGCTGGGATTAAAAGCGTGTGCCAACACTGTCCACTCGAGACCTTAACAGTAATGATAACAAACTCCACTGTAAAAGTGAGCCCCAATTGTTTCTATATATATCTTCATGGTTGGGCCTCATCTCTTTTATATTCTTTTACACATACTATTTATTAAACTGAATGTTTAATAAATATGGTTGTTACTTTGGGAGACTATAATTGACAGTAGGGTGTCTGGCATAGTGTAGAGAATCTTGGTATATATTTCCAGCTTTCCTCAGTGTTTTTTCAGTGTAGGGCAGTATTTTCATGTGCACTAGGCAGCTCAGGCCACTGCGATTTTAGTAGGTGAAACATTGTTTTAATGAGCACCTCTTTTATGTTAGTTTGACAGTAGTATTTTTTCAAATCTCTCTTTCCTATTCATATTCTTAAACAATTTGTAAATTTTCTCTAATTTATAGATATTTGTAACTTTAACCTTTTGACTCTCAGTAGTCGCAAATTTTAGCCCAGGGTTTCTTTAAATTAAGTGTAGAGGAGGGTTGACACCCAAAGTTTTTTTTTTTTTTCCTAAGTGATTTTTGTTTGCTTGCTTGCTTGTTCTTGTTTTTCAAGACAGGGTTTCTCTGTGTAGCCCTGGCTGTCCTGGAACTCCATCTGTAGACTAGGCTGGCCTCGAACTCTGATCAGCCTGTATCTGCACCTCACTCCCCCTCCTGCTCCCCGCCCCCACACACACACTCCATGCTGGGATTAAAGGCCTGTGCCAACATCTCCAGGCTCTAGTTTTGTTTTGTTTTTGTTGGTTTTTTTTAAATAATATTCCTTTGCAAGCATTTTCACTTGCCGATAATCAAGAATATGTTGTTGACAAATGAACTCATGATGCCCAGTATTAAGATATCCAAGGTATCAGCAGCCAGCTGAATAGGCTTCCAGGTTTGTTCTTTCAGCTAGCATTGACTGGGTGTCTGCCAAGTGCCAAATTATCTTTCATCCCGCAGACATTGGAGCAACAGCCACATCTCTGTGTGGGAGATTATAATTCTCTCTGTATTTCAGTGAGAGATGATGATGATGATGATAACGTCCTTTTTTGCGTGTTGACCTGAAAAGAGCACATAGAAACTATGCACAAGTATGTGCAGGGCACCTTGCCAGCCTCTTCACTCACATGAACTCAGCATCAAACAGGCATTAGATCATCACATGAAGAAATGGGAGATGCAAGGGAAGTAGATTTCCCTGCCCCAGGTATAGCAGCTAACTGGCCTTCAGACCTGGATTTGTCAATCAGTAATGTGCAGATCCTGTATTAAGGTA